CATATGAAAACACATCTTGTACAGATGAGCAACGCAAGAAATGTTGAAGTACATGTATGTGCCAAACTCAGGTTCAGCTGTCATTCGGAACAGCCGAGGCTGACGGGAATCTGATTATTTCCAGTCCGCCGCCATATAGCTGGAATATTGCTGACAGCGGCGTAAAATAACAAACCAAATAAAACAAAACCAATCCTTTTGTTAAGGTGATGGCACAGGCGATTTATTATAATATTTATTATTATTGTTTCCATGATTTTACATGAATTGGAAGCGAGAGACATCGGTCTATCTATTGAAGGAACCGATGGATTGGAATTGAAAAGGCTTGCTTGCTTGTTTTTTTGGTAATTTGTATGAACCATGAGACCTATATGACTGTAATACTGAACTTGAGACATACAGCGCTAGATATAGTGAGTGATTGATTGAGTGATTGAGTGATTGAGTGAGTGAGTGAGTTCATCTTTACGCCGCCCTATTCCACCTCTATGGCGGCGGTCTGTAAATAATCGAATCTGGACCAGACAATCCAGTGAACGACAGTATAAGCAACAATCTACGCAATTGGGATAAGATGACATGTGTCAACCCAGTCAGCGAGCCTGACCACCCTAGTCGCCTCTTACGACAAGAATGGGTTACTGAAGACCAATTCTAACCCTGATTTTCACGAGTGTTAACAAAATGAGCTTCTTAACAAAATCAATATCATGTTCTTCTTGAAACGGAAGCACAGAAAGCTATTTGCAGTGACGAGCACATGCCTCGTGTCTTTTCTATATGGAACAAACTTATGGCTTGATTTGGAAACGATGTGTTTTCAAACTGCAGATACTTGGAGTTAAAGGTTTAACCGTTCAAGTTGCACTGGTCAAGAAATTATGGCGTCCATTTGATTAAGAATTGTACCCAACAAGGGTAAGTTATGGAGCCAGTCATGCTCGATATGATGGGGCGGTTGGGTAGCCTAGTGGTAAAAGCGTTCGTTGGTCGCGCTGAAAATCCGGTTTTGATTCCCCACATGGGTACAATGGGTGAAGCCCATTTCTGGTGTCACTCGTCTTGATATGGCTGGAATATTGCTAAAAGCGACGAAATTCATATCTTCATTCACACACTCGATGTCATGATCAATTGTTGGGAACCAGCCTCTAAACATGATCTATCTGTAGAAATAGAACCAGTTCCAAAAGTATGTTTATCAAAGATATTCCTGTCAAAATCATAGCTATGATGATTGCGGGTCGAAAAAACAGATTCATTCCAAGATATCGCCAATTCATTCCAAGATATCGCCAATTCATTCCAAGATATCGCCAATTCAATTCAAGGTTTCATCAATTCATTTCAATATATCATATCTTAAATATACAATTTAAGATATCAATAATTTCTTAATACATTATCTCTATTTGCGATGTCCTAGATTCAGTTCAAGATATTTCCAGTTAATTCAAGATATCTGTCTTTAATTGCAGGTATCAGGAACTGAATTACAGATATTTAAAACATTTTGATATATTCTTTTCCAATGTCATTAATCCCATTAAAGATATCAGCAATTGTTTCAATATATCTTTAATGTGTTTCATCATATCATTTATTCATTTCGGGATATAATGAATTGTAATGCAGATATCTATAATTATCTGTATTCGAGACATCTTTAATTCATTTCAAGATATCTTCAGTTCAGTTTCTCTACTTTCATTCAAGCTATCTTTAAAACAATTGAAGATATCTTAATGTATAAATAAATGTGAAAAGGGCTTGCTACACAGTCGCTAACAAGCTAGGTATTGTGGTATTGGACAAAAGGTAACATAACATCGGGTTGTTTTCTGTTGACACGACGCGTACCAAGAGCTTTCAAAAAAAGTGTTTGCAAACATTTTCAAGTACTGTGAAAGATACAGATTACAGAAATATGAACATTTCATATTTGCGCAGCGAACTGTAAATGGAAAAGAGTGACATACTTCGTCAGCACACTGCTATCAAAACGTTCTGACAGGATATGGAATCGATATGATGCTTCGTAAACGTCAGAAAAATCAGTAGGCAAATAAGCTAATCAATAGAATGTATACATTACTTAGATTTCTTAATACTTGTTACCATTAGCCATTGCAAAGGATTTTGTAGTCAACTTACTATCGGATTAAATTTACTCTCAAGGAATAATAAAATGGCAAATCTAAACGCAAAAGAAAGAAAACCCTGTAGATTATTCTTAGAAGCAATAATTTATGGAAAAAATTACTGATTTTGTAGAACTATGGTCATATGGCAATAAAAATATTTTTCAAGATTCTGACATGCAATCCTCAAGAAATTACTTATGTATCAATGACCGTGTACATTGTCAATATCTGGTGTAACCGCCGCCAACTTCAATAACATCCCTGACCCTCCTCCTTACTGACTATATCAGTCGTTGAATTCAACTTTGAGGTATTGGGTTCCATTCTTGATGAAGGGCTTGTTCCAGAAACAACAAGATTTTGTACTAGAGGATCTCTCTTGGCGTATTCTGAGATCCAAAGTGTCCCAAACATGCTCTGGACTCCTGACGGGCAATGGTAGAGTTGCTACTGCCTCTTGACGTAGGAAACCATTAACGACAGGTGCACGATGTATCTCACCATTGTCGTTCTATGAAGATTAGCCTTGTGTTCACAGGAAGGTCATGGAAATGTGGTACAGCTGTCTACGGTGTCTTTCATGTACATCTCTTTCAACAGAGACAGAGACAGAGACAGAGACAGAGACAGAGACAGAGTTAATTTCCAGTAAAAGGCCGTAGGCCCAAAATACATTCGAAAGGAAATTCCAGTGTCTCTTTCAATAGCTTTCAATAATTTCCAAATTTCAAATGGATTCCGCATGCTAATAACTTTCATCTTAGAAATTCGTCAGTTGAGGTAGCCCCAGCTGATTTCCCAAGTTTACGAGCAGTAAGGACAGTTCACTGAAACATGTTATTTGTTTAATGATGGTTATACGTACTGCACGTGATGCTCACCTTTGATCGTAGCACGTGCATAACTAAAATAAATGTATGGTGCCCCCGAAGGGCCAAAATATTCATGATTGTGATACGGATATAAATGATATATGGGGGTTAAACATCATAGGTGTTGCAATACCTTTTTCCACGTGTGCCTATCTCGATGAAACTTTGACAGGTCTTCACACATATTTGTATTGTGTATATGTATTTGTGTATCACATGAATGTTTTGTTGAATAAAGGCTAATTTGAAATGCCCAATCACAGAACCTACGCGCACGCACACACACACACACACGCACGCACACGCACGCACACGCACACATAAACACAAACCGAAACGCACGATCTACGCTAAAGCCACGATGATTTACACACATATTGATTCTGAGCTATTAATTACGTTGCGACCATGCATCGTTGGTTATTTTACTTTCGGAACCCAAACTTGTATTGTTATTATTATTTGAATATTCATAAACAACATACGGTCCTAATTACATTAGCACATGTAGTTCCATTGTGATGTTGGCGGACTGGCTTGTCATATTGTACGCCAACAATAGGTGGCGATTTCCCAGTGAGTGAGTGAGTGAACGGGCGGACGGGCAAGCGAACGAGTGAGTGAGTGAGTGAGCGAGTGCGTGAGTGAGTGAGTGAGTGATGCTGAAGCCCAGGGCGAGAACCTGTGGGTACACGTTATCACATACCAATTATGATAATCGGGGCCAATTCGGATTCGAACCAAGGACCAGACAATTTACGGACAGCAAACTAAAACGTAAATTATTATGAACAATGGCTTAATTGTATTAAATAAATGTTGTTTTACCAACAATAGATAGCAGAAAGTTTACATGGATTATCCATCTCGACGATTATCGTCTCATCGGTTTCTTTGTTTATGTTGATCAGACATTACCGTGGTTGTGACATATTTTCTAATATACTCTGAAATATAAGAAACGCAAAAGTGGGTTTTAGTTGTATGATAATACATTACATAATTGTTCATTGTTCTGGCCAAGGTTCATTATGGCATTCGTGAATTGATTGAATGTCAAGATGAAGGTCATCTGTTCTCAATATCTTGACACCATTGACGTCGCAGACGCCGATGCTGATCAGTCAGAATGACGCCTCGAAGGGGTCGTCTCGGATGAATATCTGTGGCAAGTTCTCATATGCTGTACAACTGTGATGGCTGACAAATGAAAACCCGTCGTTTTCTTAGCCTAACAATTCATGTTCTAGGTTCAATTCATATTGGTGTGTTTGGCCGCCACGCCCTAAACGTATGCGTTTCCCAAACGTTTTTGCATATCTTTGCAACGCGCGGGTACTTTGTTCTACAGGCACAAATCACTCCCGATGCATTCAGATATGAGGAGTTCATTTTTGGCATTAATTTGGTATGAATATCAGCAATTATCCGTCAAATATTTCCAGTTTCTACTTTTGCGTTACTTTTTTCAAGAGTATATCAAGAGTTCTATGTTGTACCTGTTCAGTTTGGAGAAAATTAGCTCGTTTTGCTATTCTATCTTTACTTCCAATAACAAGCGGTCTTGGAGTTGAAAACTAAAACTGTTAATGGCGAAATGAGTGCTTGAGAACGGTTAGTAGTCTTTCAGAAATTTAACGGTTTGCGGCGTCAGAAATAGCCTTTTCACAATGTACCCATGTTGGGATTTGAACCCGGCACTTCCTCGTGACGAGCGAATGCTTTAACCACTGGGTTAACTCCGTATATTGAGTGATATTTCGTGTTGACGCAATTATATTAATTTTGTTTATGTTCATCCGAGCGACATGTGAGTAGAAACGTTAACCAGCCAAAGGCGCAAGTACCTGGTTTAATATATACATAACATATAATAGCCAACATCAGTTTCACCTTGAATATTAAATACCCATAACCCTTACAGGGCCTCACAATATGTGCAGCACATATGGTATCATTTCACCGCGTTGGTACTGCAGACTAGTGGAGTATTTCAATGATGGTGCTACGTAAAGCTATGTCAGGGATACCTCACTGGTAGCCATGGGGTGTCCCCCTTCCTCCGACTTTCTCCTCCCCTCCAGATACCACGGCGTGTTTGTGGTAATAGTCACGGTCATAGTATACATCCCTGTCGGAGGCCAGTTGCAAAGCTTTGGAGTTTTTGTGGAGAAATTAAACGAGGATTTCTGTCCGTATGACTGCCTGCAATTATTGTGTGAGTATACAATAACATGTTGAAATTTCATAACATAACTACATTAATATATGGTATATTTTGTATGTAACATTGATGGTTCGAATCACATGTAAATGTTCTAAAATTGAGTTGAGAAATGCTGTTCCCCTATAACTGTCTCATACATACATACATTCATACTAACATTTGTATAGCGCCGATATCCAGCTCAGCTCAGCTGCTCAAAGGCGCTTTGTTTTTCCCTCGTTCACTGGATGTCAATCTCAACGGCACATCGTATTGTCAATTTCAACTCCCTGGGGATCATACAACTCTTGCAGCTACTGGCATTCCCATGCTTACGAGGTACCCATTCACAGCTGGGTGGACTGGGACACATAGTCACAGTACTTTGTCCAAGTTTACTGCACGTTGCTGTACCGCAACTGGGTGTTTGCACGTATTCATGTGGCCACCATCTGGTCATATACCAACGGATTTGTGGGTTCTTTTAAGTACACAAGGTTGTGTACTGTACACTAGGGGTTGTGACAACACTGAAAGAGCCTGCACACAAAGTTGACTCCAAGGTTTTTACACCCGGTCACAGGTGGGCTCGATCCCGTCACCTCAAGCTCGCTGGATCACTAGTTTCATGTAGGGAGAGAACTAGTTCAGTTAGTTGTTCTGTCTGGGACGAGATTTAATGTATTAGAGGAGAAAAGGGACAAAGGTTTTTCGCTGAATATGGATACATCGTAAGATTTTAAAAATGTTTTCTATGCGTTCGAACTTAAGTGCAAACGACAAAACCCTTTCCTTAATCATAAGAGATCCCTGTTGATAGCAGTGTCAACTGTACAAATCCGGTCATGTCAAAAGCAATGGGTATGATATCATGTGTTCGTGGAAAGGTGAACACCTTACCGGTTGTACCACCAAACATGTCAAGACATTATCAGTTCCGTGAACACAGAAATCTCTTCTAAAACCAGAGACCGCTGAGCGATTCTGACCATGTCAAAACGTTTTGCAAATTATGTAATGTATTGACGTTTTACATCTCTCAATCATTTTCAATGATGATATCATGCGTTCACGAAAAAGTGAGCACATCCTGTCCCACCGAAAGTCCCCGCTACAAACACATCCAAAGCCAGGTCAAGTGTTCCCATTAGCAAACATCGAAGCATACGGTCAAAACAGGACTTGTGTTGGGCCTAATTTGGGCCTCCGATGGCATGTGTACATTGCCGAGTAGAAATACTTTTTAAGACTTTGATGATGTAAACCAAAACATATATTATCAGCTGGTGTTCATTTCACTGTAGATGAAGTTCACAAAATATACAAAGAAAGCCTGGTTCTTTGGAATTATTTTCCGAAACAGCAACGTAAATATTTTGAAAAGTGTTGGGATTGTGACCTTCATATCGCAAACATTGTGTACGTGTATCCAAAACACCACATACACTGTACCCTATAGCGACATTTCCAGTACCTCATGGTCAGTCTATATTGACGGGTTGATTACATACACCGAATTGGCCGATAGGTCCGGATGCCAACATTATCGTCTCAAAACTGTAGACTTGCTGATGCGGTGACTCAACGCTGTTGATGCTGATAACGTCACTCTAAGCATCCGACTGCGTGATGAACTCAATGTTTCAGACTTGTGAGTCACAATCAATATTCATTTAAGAATATTAATGTTGTTTATTATTTAAAAAATATATAATGAATTCAGAATGTACTGTAAAGTCACCAAGAGCAAACAAGCTAGCTCAATCACACATTATATACTGAAATCTTTTTAAATCGTTGGCACGTGTTCTCAAAATATGTATTTGTGGAGTGAATCTGCCACATAAATTCTGATAATTACGAATGCAATGTATGGTAATATATGAATGACTTCGCTTAAATAATGATAAAACATACACGAAAGGCCTGAATAACGATTTCCTGCATGTATCATAATGTATGATATATTGTTATTTCCATAGATTCTCTTTGTATACTCCAGGGTACAATGATCTATAATTCCTTTCCAGAAACTGATTTTCACAGAGTCGCGTATTGCTGAACCCTTGTAAAGGAAATAGTTCAACCATGCCCTTGACCGTATCACAATGAATATTGTCTTTATAACAAACAAGTAACACTACTCTAGTGCTATGAAATGGTATAATAAGCTGACGTACAAAAGAATATACATACCTGTTTTTTTTAATTATTTTAAAATATTTAAAAAAAATCTTTTCATTGTGACTTACGTACACAATGTGTGTGACTTGTAAGTCTCAAACTAAACACTTTTTAAAACATTTACGTTGGTATTTTTTGGAATATATCTACTTTCTTTTTGTACGTCAGTTTAATATATGCTGGATGCTATAACTAGTAAGTGAAATGTGCCTCTCTGTTCGTCTCAATAGTAAATTGACGGAGTAATTCAGAGTAAAATTGTCACTCAGTGTTTGCTATAGGACACGTTGCTCTAGTAGAAACAATTCCACATCTAAGTTATACCTCTACAGGACCCGTGTTCTCGCAACCAAGATCATAACGTAATTCGAATCTGTCAACTTGTTTTGGTTCAACTCGAAAATAATGGTATGAAACTTGAGATGAACCATAATAAAATATCCTCGCCATACTTTTATATATTAGGTTATAAGTGTTTTCAAGATAGCACAGTTTATACGAGACATCTGTTTGAAGTGGTAGAACATTTCACTGAACAGATTCCTGCCAACTGTGGGTAGTGTTTTGTCGCTGTTATTTACGCATTATTTATGACTGTATCATTCACAGCCTCCCCGTTATTACCAATGTGATATGTTATAACCATCAATAACTATATGATACGTGAATATATTTTATTATTCAGCAGAAGTCGAGCCCTTTGGTACAAGAAAAGCTCACGCGTCACAGCAGCGTAGAATACGCTGACTATGACATTAAATGGCTATATGCGTCGCTGTGAATTTATGTTTGATAATCAGGAGATATGTATACTAGTGTCGTGAATACAACCAGCCATTTGTCAACTGCCTCATGAAAAAACAACTTGACAATGAATTTTTAGTAGGTTCAGGGTGATAGGGAGAAAATAATTCATAATGTTGGAATTCGATATGAAATGTATTTGTGGTAAGACCATAGGGTGGGTGGTGTGGTGTTGTGTAGGGCGTTTGATATTTGGTGACGGCGGGGTTGCAGAGATACGTAGGGGTTATATATTTTTTCTTTTTCTATTTAATATTTACTTTTTGGGGTGGGTTGGTGGGGAGTGGGTGGGAGGGGGCTCGTGGGATGATCGTTCGGGATGGGGGTGGGTATGCTGATGGTGGTGGTGGTGGTGGTGGTGGTGTGTGTATGAGGGGGTGGGGTGGGGTGAGGTGAGGTGGGAGAGCGGGAATATGTTATTTTTGGGAGCAGGAAGCGGGGTGGGGGTGGATTTCCGGGGCCGGGCGAGGGAGGAGATGGGGTTGTGTGTGTGCGTGCGTGCGTGCGTGCGTGCGTGCGTGCGTGCGTGCGTGCGTGTATTGCGATGAGCCTGAATTGGATAGCGTTTGGTCGCAAGGTGTTTTCGAGTTTCAGATCCCTTTAGCGTCCGTGCAAAAACATCAATTGAAGTCGAGTCGTATCTTTTCTTTTCCAGTCTAATTTAATCCAGACATAATCTAGACAGACATAAGTTTTGGTATGTATGTTAGACCATCCAGACTAAATGCCAAGTTCTTATTGCTTTTCATCTAGAATCCAATTATGTAGTGAGAACTATTCTGTATATCTCAAGTTAAGATGTTTATTTGTTTACTTTGTCCGTACATAATTATGCAAACCATGTCTTTTTTACATTTTACTGCTGCATTAAGTATCTTATAACCATCCTATATTAAGTCAGCTGACTCTGCTATGGACAACTATGTTTATTTTGGGCGCAGATGTATTACTTCAGTAGTGATATGGGTCGATGGTACAGGTAAATTGCAAGGGCTTTGCTTTTGCCGATTATTGAAATTCGAACCACGTTGCACTGAATGTACATCTGAAGGTTTGATTGACAGGTGAAATGACAGACGTGTGCACGAAAGCAATATGAAAGACATGAAACTGACATTAAATGCTGCCGGCAATACCACAGACGAAATAAAACTAATTCCGTGTTGTTTAATTAAACACAGTGTCGAGTTATAAAACTGTATATAATTAAACCCTGGTAGGGAAAATGAATAAATACAAAGAGTGTCCAGTTGTGACGAATTGTCTGGTGTTTTTAAGTGTTTTTGCCCTTTGGTATTCCGCCAGTGTCTGGACTAAATGTTTGATTTGGTCATAAGCAACCTCCTATAGTCCACCTTTAGCTCGGTTTATAGTCGAGCCTGGATTCAGTGATGGACATCAGCAACCTGTGCACTTGGGATATGATGACAACTCGATCGCTTCTTGCGACGGTAATGGGTTGCTAAATACCAAATTTAACGTTAATACATGTCATCGTATCCTATTGCGTAGATCGATGCTCATGCTGTTGATCACTGGATTGTCTGGTCCAGACTCGATTATTTCCAGACCGCCGCCAAATAACTGGAATATTGCTGAGTGCGGCGTAAAACAACAACCCAATCAACCAACCAAATATATATAATAACCTGTGTTCTGATCCTGTACACACTTCAAGTGTAGTCTCTGAATATATACTACCCATCAAAAGTTTAGACTCACTAGTGTAAATGTAGCCACTTACTTAAGTCAACTGTTCTAAACTAGATTTTGCTAAATATTCCATAATGTTTAAAGGTACTGTTTACACATGAACTGATGTATTGTAAAACAAAGTCGTAACGTTGAAAACATTATTTTCATCAGTTCAATAAATCACGAAATGGAATGAAAACTAGACTTGCTTCATTTAGCGCTTTAGCAATGCAGAAAGGGCTAGGCTGAAGGGAAAGTAATGTGGTTGAGGGAAGGTGAGGCAGACTACCCCTTGTGACTGGACCGTTATGGATACCTTGGCAGTAATT